CGCGTTGTTGGCGTTTTTCTTTTGTTTTTCCAAACCCTTTACAGGCAGTTGCTGCTGACTGCTTAACATTCACCTACTTTTCACCTTGTTGCCACTTTTGAAAGCAGAATTCAACGCTTTGGCGGCCGTGGCATCAAGGCGGACGCGAAGGCTACAAATGAAATTAGAAGCTGGCGCAGAGTGCAACAACAGAAACAACAACATTGTTACAGGCAAAAAAAAAAAGCAAACGGCGAAAAAACAATGCAAAATGCACACACAAGATGAAGAAGAGGAAGAAGAAGCTGAAGATTCATTCACTGGCCGGCAGCAGACAAGAAGAAGCACATTGAGGCACTAAGTAGAAAGTTAATTAGGCTTAAATGTGCGAGAAGCCAACGCGTTGATGACGTTGACGTTAACGTAGAAGCTAAAACTGTAGCTGCAGCTGAAGCTGTACACTCAGAAAAAAATCCGGCTGAAATGTAAGAAATTGACACATTTTTGGCCATAAGACTACTTGAGCCTATTATTGAGAAAGTATATTTCTAAAGGCATTCGAAAACTAGGATTCTTCTTTTCTAAAATCTCGAAAAAATTGGTTTAGTTTTCATGATTTTCTTATATGTGTCACACAGAATTCTTACATAAGCTTTTATGTTAATCAAATTATACGGAAATACGTAAAAAAAAATTTTGTTTAGTTGTTGTCTGTAGTTTCTAATAATTTATTTCCAAATAATAGAAATCATTTCAAAAAATAGTCCCTCTCTAGAACATGGATTTCGTATTATTTTAATATTCTCCAATATTTCTAAAAAACAAATAATGTTTTTAGTTTTCATAGTAATTCCCTCCATTTTAAAGTGATTTTTTTCAGAGTGTAGCTCCAGTTTCAGCAGTCGTCGTTTACTTTGTAAAATCTACGATGAAAGCCAATTAAAAATTCTGATGCTGATGCTTTTGCCTTTTGCTTTTTGTTTATTATCGTTTTCTTCCTATAATTCCACAAGTTCAGTTTAGCAGACATCTAAGAGGCAGCCAGCTGCTTGTTAATTAATTTTTATGCATTTCGACAAATGCTCGAATTCGAAAAGTTTGACTCGACTTTTGTTCGCATGCAGCGAAGCGCCCCAAAAACACAAAAAATAAATAATAAAATAAAATAAACAAGATGGAAAAAATCGCCAAAACTTTCGTTTCGCATTGGCCAGCAAAATTTCACTTGGCCCAAAGGCGACACTTGTTCGACGTGGCAGTTGACATTAATTGAACCAATTAAACTGTGCGCTAATAAGTTGCACAGGGCCAGAAGCAGAAGCAGAAGAAGTTGCGTATTTTCTAGTTGCCCCCGTTTCCTCTTAACCAAAAATTATTGTTGCTGTTGTTGTTAGCATTGTTGTCAGCCTTGTTCGCCTGTCAGCTGACTGAATTAGAACGATTAACACTTGGATTGTTTCAAGAGCGTGTGGCACATTAACAACACGCCCCTTTTTGCCCATGTTGCGGACCAAGTTAAGGCCATTATGTTGAGTTGAGCCACACATGGGATGCTCTTAAGCCATTCTCAAGAAGTGCATATAATATAACAAACTATTAACTTTAAGAAAATTAAAATAGCTTGATTTTATTGTTAATGACTCGCTGAAGCCAGCAAAATACTTATTTAAATTATAAGGAAGAGTTCAGCACAAAGCAACTTTCAAGTTTAGCTAGAGTTAATTTTGTATTTATAAGTTATTTTGCCATTTTATTATTTTAAAGCCAACCACTGACCTAAAGCTTATACAGTCAGAGTTCAATTTATATATAATTTATACTTAGCACTGCTTTCCAAATTAATACATAGACAAATAACATATGTCTAATCATATTCTTATAGACATGCTAAATTTTTAAATCAAATCAAGTCAAAGTGATAATTAAGAACAAGCGTTAAATGTGGCTGTTACACACTCCATGTCTGGATTATTATGCCCGGCGTACAACAAAAGGTATACGGCGTATATGGGCCTAAAGGTCGCCCGGCTAGCGTCCAACAGCGGCCAACTAATTTAGGGCTTAACTCTAATCAAAGTTGAGCAGCGGGCAACGATTCTCACGGCCCGCATTTGGGACCCTATATGTATGTGTGTGTGTGTGTGTGAGTGTGTGTGAGCAGAATTTAATAACAGTTGGCACTAAAACTGAAACCGAAACCGAAACTGAAACCGAGCATCGATGTGGCTGTCATTGTTCTGAAGCAGCAGCAAAAGTAGAAGCAGAACAGCAAAATCACAATTCCTGCGGCAAAATTGTAGTAGAATTGTATAACAGTTTTTTTTTGTTTTACGCTCAATTTGCATGTTGCAGCCAGTGTTGCATAATTAAAATTTCAAATTAATTTCATAATTTTGCAGCGCTTTTATTATTAACAATTCTTTTTTTATTCTTTTTTTTTGGAGTTGTGTGTCGGAAACAAAACATTCAATGCGAACTACTCAGCGAACAATTTGCAATTCTCGTCCAGTTGTGTTGTGTTGGGTGTGTGTTGTGTTGAGTGTGTGTTGTGTTGAGTTGAGTCTGTGTATGTTGTGCTGTGTCCCGGTGCTGGTCGTCCTTTCGTTCGTCTGGTTATTTTTATTATTTATGTGCATTTTGATGTGGCTGGTTTTACGTAGTTGCTTTTTGGTAGTTGTAGTTTTGCAGTTACAGTTTTCTGTTATGTTGCCCAGAAATACATTTTTCGTTGTCGAAAAAGTTTTCTGTGTCGCTCGGTCGAAGCAGCAGCAGAGGGACAAAGGGCAGTGGGTTTAAAATTCTGCTTATCGTCGGATATAAAATTGTAATGCAACAACAGCTGACAAAGTTTTTGGTCATCAGTTGACTGGAAAAATACAAATTTTTATTTTCTCTTCATTTCTTTCTCTTCTTGGGCTTTACTTTTATTTGCACTTCACACATTGGGTGTGCGTGTGTGTGTGTGTTGTAATTAGCAACATATCTGCGCCGCGTAAGTGCGAAATTGAAATCACAGGCGCAACGAACACTTTGCAGATACATTTGCGTACCTTTTGTATATTTTGTGTTTGTACACTCAGAAAATTTTTCTCGCCTTAATAAATAATTTCTATATATACGAAAACATTTTTCTTATAATTAGAGAGATGCTCGTTTTTCTGTTTTTAGAAATATTTGTGAAAAGTAGAAATGCAAATCCAGATTCTTAGAGAATATCCTTTCTGAAATTCAGAACAGGCAACTTGTAATGTGGAATCTTAAATTATAAATGTTTATTAACAATATTTGGCTTTTAAAAAGCCACAACTTGACATTTTAGAATTTTACATTCTGCAGAAGGTGAGGATCCCTTGATGTCAAAAGTATGTGTATAGACTTTTTTGCGTAGTGTAGCTGTGCACAATGCCATTAGTAACACTTCAATTTCCGCATCGCATATGCTTGGAAATACAGTTCCGATTTACGATTAACCAGGCCTTAATGACTGCCGACTGCCGACTGCCGACTACTGCTGTTGACGTAATGCACGCACTGCCAGAAGGCAAAAAGCAGACCTCCTCTAAGACACTGATCCCCACAACGCCCTACCTCCCTGCAAGTGCCCATGGTTTGACCAAGCGCTCATTGTGTGTAAATTTGTTACCATTTTTTTTTTTGGTGTAGCGTGTGTGTGTGTGTTTGTTACCCTCGTATTGCACATAAAAGGTAATTTCTAATTTGCTGGTGTTTTATTGTTTCTTGCGCGCTCAGGTTTTTATGGAGGTTGCTCTGCCAGCAGCAACAACAACAACAACAACCAGAGCTCACTTATGTAACCCTGCCCAGACCCAGAGCAGACCCATTGGCAGTGGCAAAGGCAGCGGCGCATGCGCTCAAATTACATGGCAGCTGCTGTCTTCGGCTTCAGTTTCAGCTTTTCAGCTGCTCGTAAAAGCATAACGGCGTTCATTAATCATGCAATCTGCGTAGTATCCGAAACACTCCAAACACAAACGCAACCCAAACGAAAAAACAGAAGAAAAACCCAGTCTAGAATTCGAGCAGCAAGCAAAACTCGGCTCTCGCATCGACAACTGTTGCCAATTAGCAGCAAACATGCAAAGCGCATTTGCAAATCGCAGCAAAAAAAAAAAAAAATCAGCCGCACCAGCAACATATTCAAAGAGAACACTAGTTTCTTTTTTTTGTGTTCATTGCCCGCTAGCCAACGATTTATCCATTATATGGTATAATGGCAGAGGATGTGATTAGATTGCACAGGCTTTAAAGTTCCGCAAGACGCTTTAACCTATGGAAGAGAAGTAAACTTGATTGCAGTGCCAATCAGCAGCTGAGTCTATGATTCGCAGCAAGTTCAAAGCACAGCTCAGTCACTCAGCAAACTATAAAAAAATAATGGGGGAAAACTTCTTATGACATTCCTAAGACTTCCTCATTGTGGAAACCCTATGCTAAGATTCAAGTCAATTTTTTCATTAATACAAGCATGAAGAGATATCTATTAATCGTTCAACAATTAGAGTAGACAGAAGAGCAATAGGCTCAAGAAGCATACAAATTAAAAATACCGAGCAAATAAAAAGTTTCTTCAAATTTATAAATAACAAGAACTCAATTTTCAACTGTTAAGAAATCCCAATGCTAATCAATATTGTTAGAAGAAGCACTATAACATTTAGAAATATTGGAAAACATAAATGCTTTTCATACAAGAGCTCATTTTTCATAGAGTTTCAGAGTTTCCAGGGCAGCTGGGGGAAAGTCCCAAGGATTAACTTCATTAGGATCCTAAAATGCTAGAGAGAGTATTATAACACTTCAAACCTTTAATCATCTTTAATCATTAAGGGATCAGCGTTACTAAAATCCTAATTCAGCAAGTCAAATCATGCTGTCCACTTTCCTTAAATTTTCCCCTATGACAAATCTGTCAAGCTGATATTGAGTCTGTATTTTTGAAAATTGCTGACCTGTTGATAAATATTTCGAGTGCTACCTGAAAAGAGCACGTGTGGTATTGATATTCAAATGCCAATTGCCACACAGGCAGATAGACAGGTCTGACAAATAGACTGGCTGGTGACTGTTGGTTTGCTGCCACCTACCTGGGGCAGCTTAAATAGGTGGCGCTGTTGCACAGATTTCATCATCTGGCGAGAGACACGCAGCGGAAACGTTTCAGAGTTTTCCATAGCATTTCTATAGCCCAGACGTTGTCAACTTAGCGAGACTTGTCAATACATGTTGCTATATATATCTAGAACAAAAATGTCAGTCAGCTTTGGCATGTTGCAGCAGGAGGCGTGTCGGGCGGAGTCTGTCAGCTATGCGCTGTATTTGCATCGTGAGGAGTTGGGGCGCCCGCAGCGCAGCCGTCGCCTGATGCGCGTGGCATGCACCAAGTTGCAGCTGACAAATGAGCTGATCTGGAGGGAGCGACGCCAATGGGAGCTGGAGGCGCCCAGCTATCAGCAGAGAAGCGCACTAAATCGTGAGCGCCAATATCGCGATATATTAACGCGCAACATGCAACGCCAGCTGGAAAAGCAGCAACAGCAGCGAAAACACAAACTAGACACACTTGCAGACAGCTGCAGAGCAACACAGCGATAGATGCCACGTTAAACAGTTTAAATTTAAGTTTTAACTTTAAGATTAAGCTTTTGTTAAAGTCGCAGCTTAAACGATAAGCAATAAAGCCGCATAAATCATCAAAGATACTACAGCAGCCCAACTGTTCTGGTTTCGGTTTTCTACGGTTTTTCTTCTTTTCTTTTCTTGGTATGAACGAAAAACAAGAAAAGTGTCCGAATTCACTGACAAACGAACAGGGGAAAGGGCTTAGGCGCAAAAAAAAGAGAAGAAAACAAGTAATGAAAATGCAACAAGAACAACAGGCAACTTTTTCAATTTCCTGCTGCCATTACGCATTGCGAGTGCTACACTTGAAGAAAAATACACACATAGCATATGAAGAAAAAGATCCCCATTTAGAATTTAGATTTCTTATTTCTATACAAGTCAATAAGTGTTTTATATTGAAAATATACATCCTAATTCTTGTGCAGCCCTGAAGACAAATAGTAAAACAATTCAAAATATAGCGGAGTATATGAAATATAAAAAACGGTTGACTTGCAGAACGCGAAAAGCACATTTGAATTATGAAAAAACAATTTCTGAGAAAAATGTACGATTTTTTCTTAGTTTTAAAAGTGCATCAAGTTCCTTTTAATATTTACTCAGTTTGCAAAGTTTGGATTGGTCGACAACAACAAAGATTATATCAAATTTTTAGTCAGATTTTAGTTGAAATTCATATAATTTTCTCGAGTGTAGTAGTAGTTGCCAGCTGCACTGCTGGCCATTGACGTTTTCTCGCGCGGTTCTCGCACAAGGCTTCTTTCTTTCTTTTTTTGCTACACGCTTGATTTGTCGCACAAAGAGAGAGAGAAGGGGAGATAGGGAAAGGGGGGTAGAGAGAGAGGGCTAGAAGTGTACCCAACGGAAAAGTAAACCTGTCCGTCTGAAGTCCATTGAGAACCGGTATCTGTTTTGCCGGAGCTTTCTTTTTGCCCAGCACACACACACAGAGCCAGAGGTGGGGGCAATGAGAGTTCGCTTTGAGTCTCATCTTCTTGCCACACAGTTGCACTTGTATTTAGTTGCAATACCTTTGCGACTCCCCGATTCCCCACCCTCCTTTCCAAGTGCCACATATGCTCCACGCTGTCTGCAGACTTTGTCTCTTTGTCATTTGTTTGTTTGCTATTCTAAGTGCTGTGGTTTGAGTTTTGTTTTGAATTTCTAGTTGTTTTTCTGTTTTGTTTTGTTTTTTTTTTGTCAAAGTTTTCGTTAGGCATTTCTTTCGTACTCTATCTATCTGTCTATCTGGCTAGCATCTTGGTTATTTATGCGTCTTGTTGTCCCAATTCTGCTGAAACGCTGCATGCAATCAAGTATCTCTCCCTCTCCATGACTGTGCATGCGCTTTTCCCAATTTTTAAAGTGCCTGCCTAGTTTTTAATAAGCAACAAGAAACCATACACAAAAAAAAAAGAAACAAAACTAAAAACTATGAAAGAAAAGCGGAATTAATTTATTTCGATTTTGTCACACTTACCTTGCTGAAACGATCGAACGGCCCTCGGGGTGCGCTACAAACAAAGGAAGAATACAACTGTAGTTGATTATTTAAAGCGAAAAGTCAATATGAAATATTGCGCTGACGGCAACGACAAACGCATTAAAGCCAACAATAGCTGACATCAATTTAATGCCTTTTCAATAACTCTTACTATACCATATAAAAATATAAATAAAAAATATATATATTCAAAATATACAACTGCGCCACAGCAGATAAAGTAAAATGCAAATATTGTTACTGTTATACCCTGAACCCATTAGAAATTGGGAAAGGGGTATATTGAAGTTGTGCAAACGTATGCAACGGGCAGAAGGAAGCATCTCCGAGTCCATAGGGTATATACATTCCTGATCAGCCCGGTCTGCCAGCCTGTCTGTATGAATAGGCCGATTTCAGAGACTATAAGACTTACAGACTTTAAATCAGCAGATCAGGTTTAATTATTTTTATCGATAGCAACAACCATTTCACGCATATCGATACAAATCGATTAAAGACAAAAATAAAAGACACAACTGTAGAGATAAACCCTTGGTATAATACATTTTTAGGTATATTATTAAACAAGTGTAACAATTTTCTTAAGATCGGCTAAGAAACAAAGATTTCAATATCTCAAATATCTACTTTCTATATAACAGCTGCTTTGAGGTTATCTGCTCGTCGAGCACTCTCGACTAGGGCATTCTTTGCTGTCCTTTTTTTTAAATCTCTCTGTAGTTGTTTATAATTGTTTCAAGTCCAAAAACAAACACACTCAAGTTGACAGCTCAACGTGTGGTGAATGTGTTGCTAACTGCCTTTCTATGCGATTCTCACGAGTGCTCGCTGTCTCCCTCCCTCCGTCTCTGTCTGTCTATCTGTCTCTGTTTGATTTGCAGCTTGCACACAATTTGCAAAACAAAATAAAAAAAGCACAAGTTTTTCTCAAAAACAGTTTACACCAATTGTGAAAGTAAATTTAGCTACCTTTCTAGGCAATTTCCAATTGCCTTTACGAAAAAGTAAATGGGCGGGAAAAGCGCTCTCCAAAAATCTTACCTTTCTACAAAAAACGTTGCAGTCATAAAAAAAATGTATTAGAATTTTCTGTTTGTTCGCTTTGCATGAAGTTAATTGAAAGTAATAAGAGTTTCAATTTGCTGCTTTCTAATGTACAATTTTCTACGACTTTGCACTATTTGTTTCTAGTGTAACAACTTCACCTCCCGCTTCAATTCACTGGTCCATAGCAGAACAACGGCACTACATTTTTCTCTTTCGATGATAAATAGAGTACATAAATATATACACATTTATATTGTGTTTTTCGCACTTCAGTTGCACTTGGTGTTTTTGTTGTTGTTGCATTGAAACATTTTTGTGCGTGTCAGCAGCAGCTGTGTTGGTCACTAAACAACAACAGCAACGACAACACCAACAAATATAACAATAACAACTAGAACAACAATTGTAATAATATCAACAATAACAGCCAACAAGCAAAAACTCAAAAACAAAAGCATTCTACAATCAACAACAAACAACACTTTTTATGGTCCACCCCGAAAAGTGGCAGGGAACCAAACACAGATGATGGACGGGAGGGGATGGTGTGTAAGGGGGTGGGGGGAGGGTGGTGTTGAAGCTGTTGTGGCAAAAACACAAATAAACAATTGCAATTGTGAAAGAGCTGGTTGTAATTCGGTGAGCGGCTAAATCGCCTGTAAATACTTTTGTACAAGTTAACAGTTATAAATGGGCTTTTTATGAGTTGTGTGTGTGTATTGTGTGTGTGTAAATTGTGTGTGCGACAATACTTATGAAAGCTAAAGCGGAGAGAAGAGTTGAGAGTGGGCTGAAGTGTTGTAATATGAAATAAATGGTATTTGCCCAGCAATGGGCTTCATCTTCTTCATCTGTTTCTTCCTCTTCAATGATAATGTTGAGCAGCTCCGCATTTCTCATGTTGCAACATTTGGAAATTGGTAACAAAACGACAAAATCAAACAAGCAAACAAATAGGCGGACAAACGCACATATCGCCCCAGACGATGATGCTTAGAAAGTCACTCGATTGAAATGTGCTCAGAGTGAAGACAAAAGGCGTACAAAACTTATCTTAAAGTAAAACCAAACACTTGTGACTCACACAGTAAGCAATTTTTTTTTAAGTTTATTAATAACCAATATAATTATAAGTAGTTATAGCCATGTATAGCAATGAAGGCTTTGAAAGTATTTATTTATTTAATTACTATTAACAAACTCTTAGGAAAGCTTTAAGATTTGTTAAACTGTTGATAATTGGCCAGGTTCTTTATTTTGAACAGCGTTGCCTCTAAGATACTCTTTCTAATCCCAACAAAAAAATTCGTTTGAAAGACTGATTAAAATATGTTGTTTTGCTGAGAATTAAATGTTGCATTAAATTAAAATACATGGATGCAAAGACAACCTTAAAGTTAGCTACAGTCTCTGAGATGCGCTTATTTATATAGACATTCAGAAAAACTTGGCTAAATCGACTAGGCTATCGACGCTGATCAGGGGAATATACTTTGTGGGGTAATAAAATCTTTCAGTTTATATTTTTAATGCGTTTAGTTAAGCAATAACATCTAAATGCAACTGCTGTGATTTAATCGAATTTGTATGCCGTAAATATAATAATAAATAACACTTAAAACCTTCATTTTTTACTGTGCACAACGCAGTCTGTTATCTATTGAGTGTTGGTTTATGTTGTCTTGAAGTGAAATCGCTTGTCCAGGTTCAGTTTGCAGCTTCAGCTTGTTGTTGGGTAGTTGCTGCCCAAGTGGCAAGTGGCAAGTGGTTGTTATTGTTACGATTTATGGCATTTACGCAGATAGATCAGCGTTGTGCAAGTACCTCACCCACCTCACCTTTTGCGACCAACACTTGATTTGGGAGGGGGGATTTTCTATTGATTTTCTGGTTTTGCTGGCGTGTTTTCTATTTGCTGCTTTGTTGATTTGCCACACGTCCATAATGATGCCATCCAATGGAAATCATAAAAGTCAACAGCTACTAATAACAGCAACAACTCACATCTCTCCGTGTTGGTCATGGCCATAATACATTTGCCGTTGCCCCGTTGCATTTGCCGGCTTCATTAGGAAAATTTTGCGCTTTCGTCTTTCAGTGGTAAATGCACATGATGATAATTGTGCTCATAATCAGCTTGACGCAGCTGCATTTCGCCTTGACAAGTGAAAGAAGTCGAAATTTAGTTTTAAGCCCTGCGGGTGGCCAACAGTTAGGAACATACACACACAGACACAACAAGTTGGTTGCACTTTGTTTCTCTATGTTATTGTTAACGAGCAGTGAAAGTACAAAAAGGAAAAAGGTATAAAAAAAACTCAACAGAGCAAAACTTTTGCATGAATAAACAAAGTGACAGACAAAACACATTCGAAAATGGCAGTCACGCCCTTTTTTTGCTGCTGCTGCTGCTGCCAGAAATCAAAGCTGGCAACATTGCAAGCACAAAAGTAATGCAAAATTAAATGCAAAAAACAATCAGCAGAAAATAAAAACACACAGGGATATAGACAGCTGGACGGACAGGC